TCGCGAAGTTTGTAACCTGATTTTCATCCTTTAATTCCTCAAAATCATACTCATTTTCATCGTAAATGATTTTAATTTCAGACATTTTTTTAACTTGAATCAAGAGAAATTTACTTTTTTTAAGAAAAATTACGGTCTGTATTTATTCATAAATTTATTTATATTATCAATATCATTACATGCTTTAACTATTAAATACATTTTTTCATTCATACTAATATTCTTTTCATGTTTAATTTTTAATAGGTTTAAAGAAAGATCAATGTCCTTTTCGAGTTTTACGATATTTACTTGATTGAACATTGTTAAGTATATTAGGTTGTATAATGTATAAAAATTATAATAAATTTGATAAATTATTTCATTTAGGCGCAGGTGTAATTTGAAGATTTTCAAATGTAATTCTAAAAAAAAGTTTATTAGTTATTGTTAAATAAACGAAAAGGGAGAAAAAATACAAACCAATTAGAAAGTTCAACATTTTTTTTTTTTAGAAAAAAAAAAAATAAAGTTTATTTTGATCTTCCTCTTTTTTTTGGCGAGGTGGCTCTTTTTTTTGGTAAGGTGGTTCTTCCTTTTTTGGTTTTTTTCTTTGTTGTTACATGTCTTGGTTGCTTTATTGCAGCTTCCTTTGGTTTATGCACATTTTCGTAATATGCTCTACCTCCCTTACCAAATTTTTGCACAAAGATGCCGCTATCGTATTGTTTTGTGATCTTTCCATTCTTGTTTAGTATGGGCATGTAACGCTTTTTGTGAAAATCCCATGTATGTAAGATTGGCAGGTTACGTTGCAATCTATGTGGTTCGATTTCGATGGTGATATCGGCTGCATACTGCATATCAAAAAGGAGTACAAGTACAATCAAAAGCCACAGAATGAATCTCATTTCGTTTATCATCTGACAATGATTTTATAGATCTAAATTTTGCAAGAGTTACAGGTTTGGGGTTTATATAAGCCAACTTGTCAATTATGATGTCTGTATATTATCTCAACGTCAATTTCCTTTGTCAGCAATGTGAGTCTTATTGGTTATTGTAGTTTATTTTTGTTTAAATTAATCGGTTTTATTTTTAGAATGTCTGAAGAATCATTTGATTTAAACACGTTGTATCGAGAACTGGGAAGGATTGACAAGGAGATCGATGTTGAAAAGTTGCTAAAGAGAATTATTAAGATTGAAAAGAGAGAAATTCAGGAACGTTGTGAAAGAATTCAGAAACAATATGAGAAACTTTCATATTTTTATTATGTTTTATGTTTGATTATTTTCATTTTATTGTTTCCTTATCTCTTAAGTTTCATCTTTTTTT